GTTCAATGCTTCCTCTCTATTCACTTTAATTATTTATTTTTAGTCAAGGTGCACCGTGACCCAGAGTTCCCTAGCTTCCTGACCATATTACAAAATGGTTGATTGAATTCGATCAGCACCTAATACAAGGCAATATATAATTGCTTGCCCTCCGAAGACTAATGAATGTATCTTATCCAGTCCTATAGGAGATTAGTCAAGGACAGAACAGCTAAGTGGTAATACCCCGGACTGTAACACTGAGTGATAGGAGTTTGGACCTCTGAGGGAGTGATAGTTCTTTTGAAGTTGCAGACGTCCCTCCTTCATGAGTACTAATAGGCACAAGAACTAGGTGTAAAGCTTCCAGTCAATTACTTCAGACAGTTTGACATCAACGGCACATCGGTGTTAAGGCTCTCATATTTATCATTTATCTGAACCTTAAGAGACTCTGGATTTAGCATAGTGATTGCTTAATTCCAAATGGCAACTTTCACTTAGCTTCATGATGTGCTTTTCAGTGCCACAAAATAGGTAGTGATAAAGTTATCTCTCCTGATAATGAAGCGTGAAAGAATAAACATCAAAGATTGGAGAACATCAAACAATTACCATCCTCATTCAAATCTAAAAATCTTTTCTACTATCACAACAACATACTGTTTTGTAAACAATTCCTCTATGAAAAATTCAGAATAATGTACAAAAGCCGGAAAATTGGAATTCAGTAAACTCATAAATTTCATTATTTTTTATCAACTGGGAACTCAGAAGACGATCGAAGAGATGAGAAATTTCTTCTTTTCGACGAAATCGTCCCCAACTGTACATTTCTGAATATACGGTGAAAAATAAAATACTTCAGAGTAACTTCTGGTCAAAGGCCAATATAATTTGTGTCATAGGGGAAAGTTACGTAACGGAAAAATAAACAGAATTAGTGTGAAGTAAAACTAGTTACGTCAGATGTAGGTTATCTAGAGTGATCGATAATATACGATGACCGTGGCAAAGGAAGAGGTTGTACCTACTTCTTTTGAACGCGTAATGATGCTTTGGACTTTTGAATGATTAATGCTTTAGCTATGCCTATATGTTTTAGCTTCAGTTCTTTTTGAATGGCTTGGTTGCACTTTGTACGGAATTTTGAGGGACTTATCTAAAGGAGTCAAAAGTCCTGAATTTACTCTGTTCTGTTACAGAGCTGAGGATGCATTGCAGTTCTACTCCTGTCAGCTAAGTTGGATAGTGTTCAAGAGCGTATTGGTTAGGCTAGCGTGTGGTACGACCAATATACTCACCTCCACAGGAGCAAGTAATATGATATGCATACACTGATGTAACCTAGTGCTCCAGCTTTTCCTCTGCCTCCTGACGAGAGAGTTTCTGACTGCAGAATGTGATTCTAAGACTCACGGTAAGTAATATCCTATTTTTGAACCTCGACATTCTCTTACTAAGTCTGACATATTATCTCCCTTGAATTCAAAGTTAGAGGGTAAAATTTTCTTCGAAGCAGTATGCACGTGTCTCGTGGCATTCTTCGGTCTAAGGTTCTAATTTATAAATTTCAGTGGATATCCATTTTTCGTCAGAATTTCTCGCAAGTTTTCCAGTTTATGTTGGACGGTCCCCTCCACGCGTATTCTTCATATTCTTTAGAAGAGTGAAACAATAAGATTCCTCTTTGTGCTTAAGGCCATACAGCTTTGAAAATTAATAAACTGCCAGCTCTAAATGGGCTTTTTGCAAATAGATCTCTGGACTGAATTGTCAAGTTTTCTTTGAAGTTGGACATCAACAAAGTGGGATTCCGAGTTTGACTCTTTTTCTAGAGTGAATTTTATGTAGCTATGAGAAGTGCTGAAGGTTCAAGACTCGTATTCTCGTCACAAATGATATAAGTATCATCTACATACCTTTTGTAGATGTGAACCTTGCTTATTATTTCCCATAAGGTCGTTTCCCAGTTTTGCCATAAAGCAGATAGCTATGATGGGTGCTTGAGGTGATCCCACTGCCAATCTGTTTATCTGTCTGTAGATATCACTGTTAAATCTGAACAGCATTTTAAAAGTGTCTTGGAGAAAAATTTACTTTTAACAGTTACTTGAGGTAGCAATATTCACTTTATAGGACTAAGAACTCTAAATCGAAAAGTACTCCCCTATGAAATGAATACTTACTATAATCTCAGCACATTTAGCAAAGTAAGTCTTTGGTGAAGAAGACTGTAGCTTAGTCAAAGAGGTGTTCATAAGAATTACACTTTGATTTTCTAAGCACTTTGACATTACAATCAAAGAATATTCAAACACTCCATAGTAGTGCTTTTTCAGACATCGATGGCACCAACCAGTTGGGTATCGATAAGAATATTAATAAGCTATCGTAAAGATTAATACGTGTGTACATGAATGAAGTGATGCAAGCATGTATCAAGCAAGAGCGTAGAAGTGGTTCAGAACTGTCATATAATTTGAGAATTATGTGGATTAGTTTATTAAATCAAGTGATGTATAAAACGAAATCTTATTAACATAGTCACGTGCAAGAGTAAATAAAATTCTTATAAACATGAGTATGTATGTCAAAAGTAAAGACTCAGTTATAAACAGGAAGAAGCTTAAAAATACAGCGGAACGAAGAGGATTATGACCGTTCCTTTAAAAAGGTTATAAAGTTATGTAAGATGTTATTACAGTAGGCTAAAGTCTAAAAAACAGTTCACTCACGCCAACGTAGATCAATATACGAGGGAATAGCTTTTCAATAGGTTTTTACTTCCTTCTATGAGGCTGAAATGTACTGTTTATTGCCACAGGCTAATAGTTCTTATCTCAAGAACCTACGCTTTTACGTTTCTAGTCATTTTAAGATATACTGAATGACTTGACTGGACTTTGATAGATCAATTTTAGAAGCTTATGGACGTATGAAAATAAGTTACTTTCTCAACTACTGTAAATAAAACTACTGTCAGATACAGTAATAAAAAATATGCCATTCATTGAAAATGTATAGAACTGAAATGTACAATGACTGAACAATTTATTATACTGTCTTTTCAAACAGTCAGTTCAAACTACATTTTAAGTAGCTAGTTATGTTTCTAAATATATATATGACGATATTTATTTGTATGTGCATGCAGTTTAATTACACTAATTACATTAGATGTTATATTTCATCTTTCATATATCCAGAGTTGGTTTTCTGATGCACTTTAAAATTGATTATGTCATACACCTGGACATAAGGATTTTAACCACAGCCTGGTATATCCTTAAGTTAGTGATGTGTGACCATATATTTTTCTGATATCAGGAAAGTAGTAGGTACTAAAATAAATCTGACATTATGCAGCAATCAAAATAAAACATCATGGGCAACAGATTAAAAAGAAACAATAGTATCTTGGTTATTCAATGATATTATTATTATATTATTATTAGTCCCTTGGGTTCCTAGTGGAACATAGGGCTTCAGTAGCACGCCTCCAGTGACCTCTGTTCTCTGAGATCTTTTGAACCTGGTTCCACGACAGCCCACAACCTCTCATTTCCTCCTCACACGACCTCCTCCATGTCACCCTCAGCTCAGACGTCCAACTCGTCGCTTCCCATGGGGATTCCACTCGAGCAACTGGCCTGACGACTGATGTCCTCAGTCGGCCTTCTCAGTGCATGGCCAATCCATCCCCACTTCTTCCTGCATATTTGTTGGGTGATAGATTCTTGGTTCGTTCGTTCCCAGAGTTCCTTGTTGCTTATTTTTTCTGACCATCTGATCTTCAGTAGCGAGCGTAAGCAGTTGTTGATGAATTTCTGTAGTTTATTGGAAATACCTTTCGTGACGCGCCAAGTCTCTGAGCCATACAAGAGCACTGACTTGACTGGTTGGTGTTGAAAATCCGTATCTTGTTCCACATGCTGAGTGCAGAAGATCTCCACACTGGTTTCAGGCTAATGAACGCCTGTCTTGCTTTTCCGATTCTGACTTTCACGTCCTCGTCCGTCCCGCCTGTAGTTGAAACAGTGCTTCCTAGATAAGTGAAGGAGGTTACTTCCTTCAAGTTTCTCCCGTTGACGGTGATTGGAGTTTGTTGTTGTTGTTGTTGATGGTGGTGGTGCGGTATCTTCATCACTTCTGTCTTCTCTATATTCACCTGAAGTCCCGTCTTCGCTGCCTCTTCTACCAACTTGTTTGTTTTTGCCTGCAGATCTTCAAGTTTATGTGACATTAGGCACAAGTCATCGGCGAAATCCAAGTCTTCTAGGTTCTTTTCCGTCGTCCAGCGTATCCCCCTCTTCTCCGCTCCCCACTGTTTGCTGCATGATCCAGTCCACTACAATCAGGAATATCATGGGTGATAGTAGACAGCCTTGTATTACTCCTGTCTTCACTTCAAAAGCATCGCTGAGCTTCCCATTGTGAATTACTTGGCATGTGGCATCTTCATATAGTTGTTGAATGAAGCGGATAAAAGTTTGCGGTACTCCGTAGTAGTGAAGCAGTTTCCAAATTACTTCTCGGTCGAAGTTGAGGTAGAGAGCTGATTGCCATTCTATGCTCTGTTCTATGATGATGCGAAGCGTTGCAATTTGGTCTGCACATGATTTGTACTTCCTGAAGCCTGCCTGTTCCGGTCGTAGTTTTGAATCCAGTGCGTCTTTAAGCCTCTCTAGGATGATGCAGCTTAATATTTTACTTGGGGTGGACAGGAGAGTGATTCCGCGCCAGTTCTTGCAAGCACTGAGGTCTCCCTTCTTCGGCAGTTTGACAAGGTAACCCTTCTTCCAATCAACGAGCAGGTACCTTCTCTTCCCTCCACACCTTCTGCAATAGTGGTGTGAGCATGTCCGCTGTTGTCTCTGCATCTGTTCTCAGTGCTTCTGGCGGTATTCCATCTGGTCCTGCTGCTTTCCCACATTTCAGTAGCTTTATGGAGCTCAGGACTTCCATTTTCGTTGGGGGATTTATGTTCACTTGTAATTCAGCGGCTGCAGGTGGTATTTCTGGACGAAGTGCAGGTGGTTGTGGTGGTCGATTCAAGAGCTTCTTGAAGTGGTCGGCCCATCGTTTCCTCTGTTTCTCTTCTTTTGTAATTAAATTTCCTTCTTCATCTTTTATTGGTTTCATCTGTGTTGGTCTCTTCCCTGATAGCAACCTGGTTATTTGATACAATGTTGTCAGGTCTCTCTTACCTGCAGCCTGTTCTGCTTCACTTGCCAGTGTGTCGTAGAAGTGTCGTTTGTCTTTGCGTGCACTCTTCTTCACTTCTTTATCCAGTGTTTTATACATTGTGCTCAGTTCCTCTTGTCGTTGAGCATCCTTGCACTGGTTTATCTTCTGCTTCATCATCCTCCTCTCCTTGCTCTATCAGCTTCCAGGTGTCCGTCGAGATCCATTCTTTGTCTTCTTTCTTCTTCCGTCCTAATACTGTTGTGCAGGTTTCTTTCCACATCTCTTTCAAAGACTTCCAGTGTTCTTCCACACAGGTTTCTTCAGGGATGTCCCTCGACGTCTCCCATTTTGTCTTGATGGCTGCCTTGAAGATCTCCTTTGTAGTTTCATCCTTCAGTTTCCGAGTGTTGTACTTGAATTGAGGTCTATCACCAGCTTCCTTGAAGGCTTTTAACTTGATTTGGAAGGTTCCTTGCACTAGATAGTGGTCTGAACCTACATCTGCTCCTCTTCTTGACCTTGTGTTAAGTAGACTGCGTCTCCATTTTCTTGAGATTGAGATAAAGTCGATTTGATTGTTAGTGTGTCCATCTGGTGAAATCCATGTCGCTTTGTGGATATCCTTGTGTTTGAACACACTGCCTCCTCCAATCACCAAATCGTTGAATGCGCAGAATTCTGCAAACAATTCTCCATTCTCATTCATTTCACCTAGCGCCTCTCGACCCATGGTTAGTTCTCTTCCCGTGTTGTCCCCTCCCAGTTTGGCATTCATGTCGCCCATTAGAATTTTGATATCGCCAACTGACGTCTTGTCCAGTGTTGATTGAAGTTGTCTGTAGAAATCCTCCTTTTTCTCTTGCTCTGCATTATTTGTAGGTGCATAACATTGTATGATTGTGACCTTTCTTCCTTTTGAGTTGAATCTTGCTGTCATGATCCTGGAGGAGATTGGTTCCCACTGCATGAGAGCCTTCGATGCTCTTGAGGACATCATGATAGCCACTCCATAACTCAGTGTGCTCGTGGTTGTTGTCTGGGTGACAATATCGGAGTAGATTATTGATTCTCCAGTTGACAGTTTGGAGAGTCCACTCCCATTCCATCTGCTTTCGCAAATCCCAAGCACTTCGATGTTATACCTTCTCATCTCCTTTGCAATCTGGGCTGCCTTACTGGGTTCAAACATCGTGCGGACATTCCATGCCCCCACGTTTACTTTCGCTTTCATCGAGAGAAGACACATCGGCCAATTGGCTTCCCGAAGGCTTTCACCAACTGGCGTCATTTCGCCTCTCCGATTCCAGCGGGGAATAAGTTTGTTTTCATTTTTTATATTTTGTTTGTGCTTTGAAGTTTCTTTAGCGGTTAGATTTGTTTTACGGGGTAGGGTTGCTAGCCCTATGCCCAACCTTCCCTCTTTACCCGGGCTTAGGACCGGCTAGTAACTAGTAAACTAGTTAACCAGGCGAGGTTGTTCAATGATATAATGACTCATATATCAGTATGGCTAATAATACAAACACTCGACTTCATCGACCTTGAGAAAGCCTTTGACAGCGTCAACCCAGAGGTAATTTGGAAACTGCTTCATTACTACGCAATACCGCATACCTTTATCAGCCTCATTCAACAACTATATGAAGACGCCACATGCCAGCCAAGTAATTCACAATGGGAAGCTCAGCTCAGCTCAGCTTAGTGAGGCTTTTGAAGTGAAGTGAAGACAGGAGTGAAACAAGGCTGCCTACTATCTATCACCCATGATATTCCTGATTGTGGTCGACTGGACTGGATCATGCAGCAAACAGTGGGGAGCTGTGAGAAGAGGGGGATACGCTGGCTGGACTGCGGAAAGGAACCTAGAAGATGTGGATTTCACCACTGATGACTTGTGTCTGATGTCACACAAACTTGAAGATGTACAGGCGAAAACTAACAAGTTGACAGAAGAGGTGAGGCAGGGCAGCGAAGACGGGACATGCCTCAGGTGAATATAGAGAAGACAGAGGTACAGGTGATGAAGATACCCAACCAACAACACCATCACCACCACCACCAACAACAACAATACCAACAACAACAACAACAACAAACTCCAATCACCACCAACGGGAGAAACATGAAGGAAGTAGCCTCCTTCACCTATCTAGGAAGCACTGTTCCAACTACAGGCAGCACAGGCACAGACGGAGATGACGAAGCAGCCAGGATCGGAAGAGCAAGACGGGCACTCATTAGCCTGAAACCAGTGTGGAGATCTTCTGCAATCACCTCAGCATGAAGCGTGAACAACATCCGGATTTTCAACACCGACCCAGTCAAATCAGTGCTTCTGTGTGATTGTTGAGAGACTTGACGGCGCATTACGAAAGGCATTTCCAACAAACTACAGACATGCCTCATCAACAACTGCCACATATGCTGGCTCGTCACTGAAGATCAGATGGATTGCCAGCAAGAATAAGTGACGAGGAACTCTGGCCTGTCAACGAACCAAGAAAGAAGCTATCGGTCAACAAATACGCAGTGTAAGGATGTGGAGATGGATTGGATTGGGCATGAACTGAGAATGCCGACTGGGTACATCACGCGTCAGGTCAGGCCGTAGAGTGGCAGCCCGGTAGGAAACGGCGATTTGGATGTGTGAGCTGATGGTGACATGGAGGAGATCGTGGAGGAGGAAATGAGAGCTTGTGGGCTGTTGTGGAGCCAGGTTGAAAATACTTCAGAGAGGAGAGTGGAATGGAGACGTGCTGCTGAAGCCTTATGTTTCATTAGGAACCCAAGGGACAAATATTATTATAAATAATAATAAACAATAATGGAGACTAACATTTCTTTTAGAACTTGTTTAATGATAATATCAAATCAGTTATCGATGATTTATCAGTTTCATACTGCATATAAAAATAACCTTGAAGTAGTTTTTTAGTCTAAAACCTCCAGATCGAATCACTCTCCAGTATTCATCAGTTACTTGCTTCATGATGAAATTTCCCGAAGTCGTATTGAGAAGCCGTGACGAGTGGGATAAACAAATGGTCGGCGATGTAAGTGGATGAAGGTCGGGCCATGTTGTGAACTGACAGAAGTAGGAAAATATTGATCATTTGATTCCAGCCCGGTGGCGCATTGATAGCGTTCTCGATTAAGGTTTCAAGGTCCCAGGTTCGACCCGTAGCAGGTAATAGGTGTCAACCTTTGAGGAGTCCTATGCTGCTAGAAACCAGCTGTCCAGTGCTTCAGTGGCTGTCTAACTGATATCAGGCAGTGATAAATACCAACTCGAAATCAATATATCCACACGAACCTTCAGATTAAAATTAAGCCATTAGACATTGTAGATGTATTTCAACGAAAAAACTGTCAAAATTTCATAAAAGTCCAAGGAAATCAGTACTATATGTGCAGAAGTTAGTTTTCCATATATATATATATATATATATATATATATATATATATATATATATATAATCCAACCGACTAAAATAAAACCATTAACCATTCACACTGTCTGTAACTGATGAGATTAATAAACTTAGAAATATAATGATGCACTCAAGTTTTGTATTGTCCGATTCCTTCACGTATATATAAATAAATAAAATTGTCTGTGATACAATTCATCAACCCTACATTAGTGTATAAAGGTCTAGTCTCTATCAATAGAGCTAGAAGCATATTTTTGATATAATAATACATATCATAAAAAAACACTTTTATTATTCTATTATAACTGCATGAACAAAGTGTACCCACTGCGCTAAGAATAGCTTTAAGTATTGAATTTATTTTCAGAATTATACTTTTGATGCCTGCAAATTTTTAATAATATGCATAAGAAACTCATGTTAATGTAATTCGTTTATATATGTGAACATTCTGTAAGCAAGGCAAAAATAAATAGTTATCTTTGAATCAAGTGAATTCATTTTCTAGTGAGAGGTGATTATAAGACTACACATGAGTAAAAGATATTTGTATCGGCTACGCTATGAATATTCTGATAGTCAAGTGTTACTCTCTGTTCTTCTATCCGTGTGCTAATTCTCTGATACTGATCTAGGCATCATCTCAAGCGCATCTTTACCAAGAGATATTTTTTCATTAAAATTCAACTTGAAGAATGACACAAACCACATTACATGCTTACAACTGAATAGAATATATAGATAAGTTCTGTTATGAAAGAATTTTAACATGGAAAATTGACAGCTTAAATATATTACCAATATTAAACGCAAAACATACCATTTCAACTGGGAATATTGACAGATTTTATTTTTTTTATAAGGGATCAAACCATAGAGTTAAGAATTCTAGTGGGAAAATTCACCAATATTATGTTACGCATATAGGATAAATCAGAAATTAAAAACTCACATGAATACAAATGATAAAAGGAAACAGTACTTAGACGTGATTGACACTAAACTATTGAGCATCTAAACAAGCAGTATATGTACTTATATGTATGCACAATCCCAACAGAATTTCATGAATATATTTCGTTTATTTAACCAAAACTCTATTCTGCTCAATTAGACCAAATTTTCATTCTGATTTCTGCATAATCATAGCTTATCTAACAAATTTCCAGTCTGCTTCCATTAATGCAAATCAGGTTTAGTGGAGCTGTGGCTCACTGGTTTACGGAGATGAATTAAAACCCCTTAGTCATGGGGTTCCAACCCACGGACAAGTACCAAGGTTTGCACAGCCAGGTAGTATCATATGTTTTCACACAATAGGTGTGTCTCACTGCCTGTCGCATGAAATTACACAAGTTTGATAAGTACATTTCATTCACATCATGTATATATCATATGAATGTTAATTTAAGAGACGTTAAAGCCTTTGAAAAAATTACTTTCATGATGTTATTATTGTTATTCAAAGTTTGTTGTTGTATTAGTTGAGTCCCATTCAAATGAATTAATGACTGATTATGAGCAAAACAGTTTTGAAGTCTTTGCAGTCGAAAACTTCTAAATCTGCCTGCCTGTTCATCCATTATACCAGCCTACGGAAAATACAGGTGAAGGTGACTACAGAGGAGTATTTGTAAATTTTGAACACACACAATGTGAATGCACTAAAGGAATAGGAATTAGTCAACCAACTAGACTGTAAGAAAAGAAATTACAAACTTGTTACTTCTTTCCAAACAATGGAATGAGAAGGTGGTATCACGGTGTTATTGCAACATACTATCCGGATAGTAACATTACAGTCTATTCATTGTTATATATTTGACTAAGTATCCTGTTCAGTAAT